GAATCCTTTAGGGAGAAGTCTAGGGATTTTGTTTTTTATTAACGGGAAATAGTACGGTGGCGATTAGGGAAGTCTGGAATTTTAATCGGGAAATATTTTTCCTCTTGCCACTGTCTATGGCTTGAATTGGGACTGGCTGTGTATACGGTGTATATTTGTGTATATGAAGACTGCGTGACGTATATATATATATATATTAAACAGATTGTTGCCTGGCTGTTGGTAGCAGTGCAATTAACATCACTCCTTATTCGAACTCACCCCTGGACCCCAAGATGTTTTCTCCGACAGCCTCTTTTGGTTGGCCACCCTGTTCAAATCGCGCTGGAGCAAGTGACTCAGGACGAAGAACGTGAGTCAGAGATAGAGAGAGAGAGAGAGAAAGAGAGAGAAGTGCAATAGTTTTCCCAGTTTCTCTTCTAGCGACTGACTCTCTCCCTCTTCCCTTGCTTCTCTCGCAGCACCCGTTGCTATGGTAACCTCTTTCTCTCGCTCGCCCGTTATCGCACACTCGCTCTCTCACTCTCTTACCCTTTTGCATCCTTCGAATAGCAGCTCCGTTCCAAAAACATTGACTCCGTATCTTCGCACGGTTATTACATTTCTATCTATGCCGTGTCTGTCCTCGTAATCTTTTATTTTATCTATTTCAAAATTTCGCCCGATCTTTTAGGCTATTTTCGAAAAATGAAAATTCCAAGTAATTATTTAGGTATCGGCGCGAAAGTACTGTTCTAAGAATAACGCCGGCAGCTCTCGCTCGATAATCTACCGATGAGCTGTGAATCCGTCTCGAGTATAAAACACCATTGAAACTCCCCGCAGAATTGAAATAAGATTCCACTCCTTTTCTGAACTCTTAAAGCCGATCCAGTCCTCAACCAGAATTTCCTCTATTTATAAGGTCCAATCTGCCTTTGAAGACCGCGCTTCTTAATTTATCCACTTCGCTCGGCTCTCCTGGCCCTTTTGGTCTTGTTCCCGTTTTAGCTGAAGTGCCTTAACGGCCATTTATTCGTTGTAGAAATGCCAGGGGCCAAGTCCGGCTGATTCCGGCCACGGCAGAGGCTGCATCGGGACGACGGCTGAAAAGTCTTCTGAGGTCAGGATGTGGATTATCCGTAAAGCCTCAAAGTCTTGGCAAAGCCGAAAAAAGAGGGGCAGCGGGTGG